CACTGTTAGCCTCAAAGAGAATACTTTAAAATATTAAATGAATATGTATAATATTAAATAACATTAAAATATTCTAGTTCATAACTAAAACCAGATTTTGAAAACTTTTTATAAATGGTCAGACAACAGATCTAAAATATTTAGACCTTTACCGAACTATAAAACTTTAATAAATTTGTATCTCATAAATGGTTCTATAGTAATCATATTAACAAAAAACAAACAATGAAGTAATTTCAGATGAACTCTATTCTGTAACTTTCGACATTTAAAAAGTATGCTGTTAAATTTATGAGATAGTCCACACAAAAGTCACCAAAAATTTTTTTGCAAACTGCAGGTTAATAATTATAACTCCTTTCAATTCATATGGATTTATAATAATTATGATTATTGTTACCTCTTACAACTTGCTGCCCATTGCTTCTTTCTCTGAGCTGGTTGCCTTCTTCCATCCAATAAGCACTAAAGGCATGAGAACAAGAGCTTTTGTAGAAAATAACTATAAGCTTTGCAAACTTAAAACGTCAGCTTAATTCTTTGGCACACTCATTTTTAGAGGATTATCTTTTACAAAAGAAATACCCTACCCTGAATCTTCTTTACAAGAAGAACCTCAAAAGACTATATGCCAACAATTACTTCTTTAAGAATACAACCTAAATTGTCCTTACCTTTTTTGTTTCATTAGAAAAAAAAAGACTGAACAAATTTCATAAATCGTTTTCTCCTTTTTCCATTTTTCCCTTTCACATGAAAATATGAAAGCAAACTGATTTCCTATTTCCAAACGTTCAATGTTAGCTAATTCAAAAAAAGAGGTTGGAAACAATGCACAAAATTACAGAGTTCCCCATGCAACAAAACAACTGTTAGTTACTTAAATCTCATGGGGTCCATTCTTATTTGCAATATCCGTGTTTCAAAGGAAAATTCCGATTTTCAACAAATTTACCTACTCTATTGCTGGCCAGAAAAACCCACAGGATAACAATTGATGGCACATGCAGCTGTGCTTTTCCATGTGCTCCCATTGTTTAATATATACTATTCTCACAGCTTACGGTGATAAAAGCACCAAGTTGTTGCTCTGCAGTCTGGTTGCCTCCGATTCAAGCACTAGTCCTTTCACCAGTTAATAGTATATGCTCAATAAATGCTTGTTGAATAACGAATGAATTAATTTCAGCTATGTTGGCCAATTTCCACTGCAACCATATTCTAACAATGAAGGAACAATCTCAGGTCCTTGTTGGGCACCTGTATTTTCAGTGCATCAATAATCTTTCTCTTCCCTATTTAAAAAATATATTTTTTAATACATTTGCACAATTACCACAAATAAACCAACCACGCATTATCAAACCTCTGATAAACTTAGTCACATATAATTTTGCCAGATAGTTCATTTTAAAAATAGCAAGTTTAGTCAATTGGACAAAAAAAAGTACATACTTTCTTCTCTCTTAAGAAAAACATTCCCTCAAAGATTTATGTTTAATACCAAAGGAAGAAAACAAATAGCTGCCCCCTCCAATTTATACAACAGATCAACACTCACGGTTCCAAAAGTTTAAGATGCATAAAAAACACAAGATGCATGGCATAGTTTTATCTATGCATTGTCTCAGAATGGATTACTGTAGAACTATTGTACATGACACTGAATTGACTCATTCCTGGAAAGTCTGGCTAACAAATGGAGTGCATATATTTACATACACACATATAAACACACACACGTGCTTACCATGATCTGAAGATTTTAATTCTCAAATATAATTTTTTAGAATCCTTAGTAGGAAGTGTGAAGAGTTTAAATTCTTGCCTTTTAATCTTGAAGAAAAAAAGATACATGCTTGAAAGTATTCCCTTTTATCAAAGATATTCTTTTCAAAAAAATTTGCGGGGGTGGGGGGGGGTGGAGGAAATGTTGATTCTGATTATGTAGGCCCCTATTCTAATCGTTTTCTTATTTTAGTCAACTTCTGAATTAATACTGAAAACCACTGCCAAACTGTTCACATACTAACGCAAAAAGTGGTCACTCTACCTGCAGTGTCTATCCCATCTCACACTCAACAGTTTTACAGCCTTATTGCCAATTGTATATGTCCTCTTCAGCTACAGATTTTTCTATGACTCTGTGGTAGGTAACACTCTAAAATGTAGAACATAGGTCTTCCGTCTGTGTCCCTCAACATCTATGTGGCTCTCCATTTAGAACTCAATTGGAATTTGGACTAGATCATTGGTTCTCAAAATGTGGTCCCTGGTAGAGCAATATCACCATCACCTGGAAACTTGTTAGAAATGAAAATAATGAGATCATACTGAATAAGAAACCTCTTGTTTTAACCTCCAGCTGATTTTGGTAGGTAGTCATGCTTGAGAACCTCTGGACTAGATGATCCCTAAAACCATCAAAATCCTACTGTTATTAGATCAAATATGTCTTCTAGAACTAGCATCATGTTCAATTAAATGCACTGTTATTCCTAGTAGTCTGAGCAAAGTATCATAATCTAGAATACCACATTCTACTAGTAGTAGTTAAAAATTTGCTACACTTTCACAAGGACAAAATTTCAATTAGCAAGCTTTTCCCGATTAAGAAGACACTGTGACAAATGTTTAATATCATTTTAACTAACAGTGGTGATCTCCAAATTAAATCTTTGATTCCTTCATATTCCAGCTATTGTGAAAATATATGCTTTTATGACAGGGTGCAGACATTTTGCATCTATTTCTCAAGACCAATTGTTACATATAGCATTCTCTCACTTTCCCATCCCACCTATAAGAAATAATGGAATATAATTTCAAAAGGGGGTGCAGTAAAGTGCTGGTGAAAACATTTATAAAACACCCAAACAATTCAATTAAATGAGGCATTTTAGGATTCCCACCTACAGGAAAGGTTAACTAACAGGAAAATATAAAGCCTCATACAGATAAAGAATTCTAACCCCAAATAGATCTTTTCCTAACATGTGATTCAATGAAGTCTATTTCAACAGTTAACAACGTGGAAATTGTGTTACCTAAGAACCATGACTCCCAAAGACAAAAATGTTAGACTTAAGATGATACCTTCAACTTTTCTGGGGCTATTATAAAAGAAGAACAAAAACAATCCTTTGAGATGATATGAAGCCTGGATGACTGTCAAGGACCAAAAGGAAAAGCTGTTAAAAAACAACAGGAATCAAGTTTAAAAGTTAACTTTTGCTCCCCAAGATAAAGGTCCCTTCCCCCCCAGTATGTTTTGACAGGTGACTGCCTTACAGCCAACTGCTCCTTCCCTTTAATACTCAAGTCAGCCCAACGTTTTCATCCAAACAAATGTTCTTATCTCTTCTTCATAATACTACAAGAGAGTCTTACTAGCTAAATAAACTGACATATTCTTAAAAACAATGGCCCTAATTTCTCTCAGAGTTGTCAAGAAAATAATGGAGAAGGCTACCAAACTAAGAACTATGATTTTCCTGCTCCAGGAACACACAAAACTGCTATCATTGAGAATCCAAAAAGCATTTATTTTACAGTACTCAGTAAAACCATATTAAAATCTTCTGCCCTGCCATGCCAGACCTATAAAGAATTTAGTCATGCAAGTGACTAAATCCTGTGCAGAGATGATTAATGCACCCAGCAACCTATTTCATTTCCAATTTTCCATTTTCAAGTATTCGCTGTCAGGAGTACATACATTTCTTAAGTTAGTTAGATACTTGGCACCATTTTATGTCAAAAGGCTTCCAAAAAAACAAAATAAAACAAAACCATAAGAAACAGTTAACAGATGCCTTTTTTAAAAAAATCCTTCATAATACTTAATATGTCTTCAGAATTTTCAACTTTAGATCCACTAAAGCAACTAAATGTATTCAAATGCTAGAAGTAATCTTTGCAAAGGCATAACTTTGAGTAGTACCCCCTAATTTCTACATTTAGAATATACTATACATATAGTGCCTTCCAACTGAGTTTGATACTAAAGTGAGATTGAATAAAAAAATGGCCATAAGACCATCACAGGCAAAATTTTCTATCCCTCCTCCACCTTGGAATACTGACATGTCACTTGGGCAAAGGACACAACATTTTAAGGCAAGATATGTTAATACAGCTTTCGAGAAACCTGTGGCCTACAATTTCTTTTGGCTTCAACAGAATAAATCCCTTTTTCAAAAGACCCTTGAGAAGACTTCATCTGCACTCATAGACTTAAGGTATATCAAGTGCTCCTGATATATAGCCGTAAACTTTCTTTTATTCTACAGAGGTTATATTATTAAAGTGGACTTTGAGAAAAATAAAACAGAAAATAAAAAGCTCACACTGCCTCCTGCTGTTAGAAAATTTCATGAGGTCAAAATGGTCCACAAACTGGAATGAGAACATGTTGGTTTTTTTTTTTTTTTTGGTCTGGTTTTTGTTGTTGTTGTTTTTTCCCCCCTCTTCCTTTTAAATCTAGTGATCTATTTCCAAATCAAAACCTCCAAAGGGTTGAGGTATTGTCTACAACCCATTCAATTAATTGTACTGCAGAAAACACTACCAGGTATGACTTCAGAATAGAAAGCATCTTCCCCAAACATCCTTTGGACTTGTATGTGACCTCATTTAAACTAAACAAAAGTGCTACATTGCCTGGTCAGGTCCATGGTTCCTTTCCCAGACCTAAGGCAGTGTTAGCATTGGTTTCTCCCTTCCTTACCTACTTTGAGGTAACCTGTTCCATGTCAGCAGAACAGATGTAGTAAGGTGGTATGGCCACACCCCAGGGCTTCCTAGACCTCGATGACTTTTCCCATATTTAAGGAGTCGGGAGCAATGTCACCCAACTTGCCAATGAGACATTCCTGTCTTCAAAATCTGACAAACAACTCCTGGGGCATCAGGCACCACCACCTGCCCTTGTCCACCTCAGCCATGAGATGATACTGTATTCAATCACTGAATATGAAACACAGAAACACAAACAATAGTTTCGGGTTTCTTTAAAAATGACATCTGTATTAAAAGTCTTAAAATGATGAGACAATGATTAAACGTGTGTCTGGAATTAAAAATTACAATTGGTTAGAATTCTCTTGGTACATCACAACAGTAAAATTTTGCTCTTTGCTTCTGGAGGAACACCCTATTAACAGATAACCAAAACAAATTTAATAATAATATAAAAGGGGAGCTAAATACCTGAACATTTGAACAAAATGAAGCAAAAAAAAAAAAAAAAGAAAGAAAAAAATAGCAACCATTGCAAGACATGGAAATTACATGTTAAAGGCTGGAAAGAATAAAGAAGAAATTCACAGAACAACAGGACCTATTGTCCTGGCTCCTTCAGGAAGATTACTGAAAGGAAACTGGGAAGTGGTTTGGGGAATGGCAAATTCTGGGACAGGGTGGGAAGTTCACAGGTTGGCACCGGCTGGAACAGCTGAGTTTTGAAGGCACTCTGCAGACACAGGGGTGCTGGGGGCCCTGAATCACATTTGTGAAGTCTTTGTACGGTATTTTAAAGAGCTAGTCATCAAAATCTGTTACTGTCAACCAATAAGAACAAAAAGCTAAACTTAAAAAAAAACACACACACAACAGTACACACAAAGATGTGCAGATCTGTAACATTTTTTTTTCACAGCTGATAAAAAAAAATACTACCGTTCTCCCCCAGACTCCCCTTTGATACAGTAGGTAAACAAAATAGATTTTTTTTTCTTCCCACAAATATCAGCAGACACTTTCTGGCACCCCACACTGTATTGGCATCAGTGTTAAGAGTCAGTTCTGATGTGCAATAGTTCAGATTGGATACACTGTAACAAGAATCCAACTTTGCATAGACATCCTCAAATCGCAATCAGTCACGGGGTTGCCCTTCCAAGCTGGCAGAAAAGGAACCTGATCATAATTTTCAGCTACTCCTGGAAAACAAGGAAAAAAAAAAAGTTTCTTCCTCTCTTCCTGCTCCTTCATTTGGTTCTCCCGGACTTCCTTCCATGTATTTAAAACTTGGAACTAGAAAACGGTTGTTGACCAATTAAAAAAAAAAATCCCCCCCTTTCCACCTTCTCCCTATCCTTTTCCTCCCCAACCCCACTTATTTTTTTCCAGGTTGAAACTTTCCCTTGCTGGTGTCAAGCTGCCAATACAGCGCCCTAAAGGCTACTTACAGGGGGAAATATGCGTCAACCAAAATCAATGAGAAACGTACATGCTGCAAAGAGCCACATTTCCACCGAGTCTCGGATGGTCAGGACGGGATACCCCTGCGGACTAGGGGAGGAGGCTGGGGACGCCGGCCGCAGAGGCCAGCCGGGCTCCCGGGACACCCCGGCCAATGCAAAGCCGTCTCCAATCTCAAAGCAAAAAGGGAAATCACATTTAGAGAGTCGGGTGCGTTTGGCTTTTGTGCGCAGAGCGCGGCCGGCGCGCGGCGGCCCCCGGCGCCTCAGAGGATCACGCAGGCCGAGCAGCAGCCCTCATCGCCGTTGGGCTGCGCCGCGTAGTTCATCTGCCGCACGATCTCGGCGAACAGCTCGTCCACCGAGGCTTTGTTTTTGGCCGATGTCTCCATGAAGGGGCAGCTCCACTCCTCCGCCAGGGCCTTGCCCTCGCCGTACGAGACCTCGCGCTCGCCCTCCAGGTCCACCTTGTTACCCACCAGGATCATGGGCACGCGCTCGTACCGCTTCACGCGGATGATCTGGTCCCGCATGGGCTTGATGTCCTGGAAGCTCTGCTGGTTGACGAGGCTGTAGACGAGGATGAAGCCCTGGCCGTTCTTGATGTACAGGTCCCGCATGGACGCGAACTGCTCCGTGCCCGCCGTGTCCAGGATCTCCAGCACCGACGGCGACGAGTCCACCTCGATCTCCTTGCGGTAGAAGTCCTCGATGGTGGGGTCGTACTTCTCGATGAAGGAGCCCGTCACGAACTGCACGGTGAGCGCGGACTTGCCCACGCCGCCCGAGCCCAGCACCACCACTTTGTACTCTCTCATGGCTCCGTCGGCGCTTTCACCGCGCCTGCCGCGGCCCCGTCGGGGCTGCGCGCCGGAGAAAGGCTGGACTTGGCGGCTGGACTTCTCCCCTTCCTCAGCTCCGCAGGAAAAAACCTAGGAGAGTGTGGCTGGGGAGCGCAGGACGCAGGAATCACCCAACGGGAGCCGGACGCCGGGCCGGCCGGCGGCGGCGGCGGCGCGTCCCTGGGGCGCGGGTCCGGGGCCCCGCAGCAGCCCGCAGCGGCAGCCTTGGCTCGGACCCGGAGGACAATGCCGGCAGCCTGTGCGAGGCGACGGCTGCAGCTCCTCGCCGCGGCACCCGGGAGGACGGAGAGGAGGTGGCGGCGGGGTGCGGAGGTGGCTGCTAATTGCGCGCCGAGCTGGGACGCTCGTGGCCGGAGTCCCCGCAGAGCGTACGCCCACCGCCGCGGCCCATCGCACTCTCTCCCGCAGCCTCTGCGGGGCGAGGGCTTCCTACTCGCCGCGCGCAGCCGGGCCCTCCCCACCCCCGCGAGCATGCCCAGTGCATCGGAAGGCCGCGCCCGCCGGATCCGCTGCTCCTGGTTTTCCGGGGGGCCAGGCGGGGGCGGGGACGTGGGTGGGGCTTGCGATTTGAGTGCGAAGGAGCGGATTCGGGAGAGACACGAGTCTAGGAGCTGGATGGGAAATGCTGCGGGGGGAGGTTATGTTGGAGGGGGGCTGGGAAAGCTCAGGTAGGAGGATGGAGGCCGCCTTCTTTTACGGCTCTGGGGTTCGTGCATAAGGCGGCGGCGCTACGAAAGCCTGTGCGGGCGGAGGGCCGCCTCGGGAATGGGGCGGGGTCTGCTCTTCCCGAGTCCCGTTATCAAAAGCCCTTGGACCCCACTATCCGAGCCCCTGCAAATGCGCGTCTTGGGGCCAGAGGCCCAAAGGACATCTGGGTGCGTGAGCGGCGGGTGGAGCATCTCCCTGTCCCTCTCCACCCCCCACCCCCATCTAAACCGTTCGCCTGGGAAACGCTACTCGGCCGTCTCTCCCCGCACTACAGCCCCCGGACAAAGAAAACGAGAACACTGGTTCTGAAACATTGTCCTGACGAGGAAAGGGGCAGCCTCTAGTGACCGTAGTCCTCTCAGGGCTGGGACTTGGCGCGTCCCACCCACCTCCAGTCTGGACTGGAGCGGAACCTGGAGACCGGATTTCAGCCCAGTCCAGAAGTGGCGGCTGCGCCCGCAGCTAGTCAGGGCATGCTCAGTGGGCAGAGCAGGTTTTCGGGTTTGGAAGGAGGAAGCTTTTGCACCACACACCCACACTCCAGCTCAAATTACCTCTCCCAGACTCGGGACCCATTGGTCCCAGGGCGCAAATCTCACACCCCCAAGTGTTCTGCCATTGGCTACCGCCAAGGTTTTATCAGTTTGGGCTGCTTCATTGGTTAAAAAGTAACCTCCTCTCGTGATTGGTTATTTATAGAGATTGAGTTGAGAGGCGGAGGCACAGCTGTTCTTTCTCTGCTGGTCCCCCCGCCCCCTTCCTCCCACTTCCCCAACCTAGTCGTTTTGAAGCTAAGAGTGCAAAAATAAGAAGAATTTAGGCGGAGAGCTCAGAGCTAAATATAGTCCTTTGTTGGTGTTTTTGAGAGAGCCTGACTTCTCGGTGCCCAGTCACGACTGTCCCTTAAAGGGTGGAGAAAGGGCTGGTTGCAGCTCTTGGTCCATAAGCAACAGCCAAGTTAACAAGTTTTTTTGCAGAAGGGGTAGGGTGGCTAGGATGTGGAAATGGGCCACTTTGAATTCTTTCCACCCGGAGGGGTGGGGGAATGCCCAGGCTTGCCTTTAGAAAACGTCTTCGCTTGGCTGGCTCGCACTCACAGGAGGTTCAAGGGAGATGCCTCGACTTGCTCGGAGTCTCCCTCCTTCCTTGCGGAGGAGAGAAGTCAAGACCTGTCAGAAGACTAAACGAAGTTAGCGTGAGCCCCAAGATGAAGGGGTGGGAGGGGACAAAGCTGTGTCAACCCTGGCTCCGTGTCCTGATTTTTTTTTAATCCGGTGTCACTTCCCACTGGTTTCACCGTCCGCATCGCAGGGATGAATCAGGCGGTGTGCTGTGTGCTAACACTTGGTTTCAGTTCCTGAGCCCACCGCCACATTTGCGAGTTAACCTTCTCCCAACCCCTGGCTGTAGCTCATACCGTGCGTGTCTGCAGCCCGAAGTCCTCGGGCACGGGATTGGCGGGACGTGGGCAGCAGCCTACGCCTTGGATGGGGTGGGTGGTGCCCACCCCTGCGCCTGGCCCCGCTATTTAGTGGAGAGAGGAGTTCAACCTTCATGATCAGAGTGCTTGGATATAATTATATTTATATAATTCTGCAGCTAAACCTAAGTTGAAGGCAAATTCACCTAATACATCAGGAGGAACCTCACATTTAACCAGTGTTTAATGTCTGCCAACCCTTTTAACATGGACTATCTTATTTACTCCTCGTAATGATTATTATGTGTGTTTTAAGATGAGGAAACTGAGGCCCTAAGATAAGTTGCTTGATATTTCACAGCAAATGAGTGGCCAAGCTAGGGCCCCAACGCAGGTGTTTGGCTGCCCAATTGGCCATACCACTGTCACAAGAAAGTGCCCAGATTTTACTCTTAGGTTGAATCTTGAGGTAGTGTAATCAGACTGGTGCTTAAATCCAAGCAAAAGGGACCTCTGCCTACCGCCTCCTCTGCTTTCCTCTGGCAGTGCCCCTTCCCCGCAGGTCAAAAAGTCTGAACCCTCTTCTAGACCATGCTCCAGATCGTCAGAATCCTGGAATCTCCTGCCCAAATCATACCAAACCCTCCTGCAAGATCTGCTTGGGACTCTGCACTCATCCCTGTGTTCAGGAAGGGGTCTTTGTTGACAGAGTGTGGGCAGTGCTTGGACCTGTGGGGTGAGATGTGTGCCCTTCAGGGCGCTTTGGGCCTCTCCTAAGTGCAGGAAGTGGGGTAAGTTGGAGTCAGCTCTCCCTTCCCTGCCACCTTCCAGCTTGGCCCTCAGAGGAGTCTAAGAATTCATAATTCACACCTGGCCATACAGGTCCTTGGGAAGAGGTGTTTGTCAAGATGGGAGGATAAATCATATTGTGTTTAACAGTTTGTTATCTTGATTTATGACTTAAATACTTAGATTAATGCTATGTGGGCCTCTATTTGTCCTCTTGCCCACAAATGCTAGGTGTGGTTCCGAGTATGATATAGTAGAAAATGTGTTTCCATATAAGCCTGGGGCCTAACCTCAAGTTTTGAATATCAATAATTATCTGTGACCTTGGGCAAGTCCCTTAAGCTCTCCTGACCTTAGTTTTCCTAGCTATAAAATGGTGATAAAATTTGCCCTACCCGCCTCGCTAGACAAGCAACCTTGGAGAGAATCTAGTGACCAAACCCCTCATTTTATATCAGAGAGAACTGAGCAGAATTAGAGCCCTGGTGCCCTGGCTGCCCTTTTCAGGGTGCCAGCCTGTCCTCAAGGTAATAATTAACAGATAATGGATGGTAACGTGCTTTTAAAGCTACAGTACCCCATAGATGCTTGACAATTACTATCTAGACCCAGGGGCCCTGACAGCCCCATCTAGAAAAGACTATCCTCAGGACTCCAGACCTTATTGTGGATGGGTATTATTGAATCTTGGTGCCCTCTCCAGTACCAGAAATATGCCACAGTTTGAATACTTTCTATTAGGGATTCTTCAATAGTAATTTTTATTACATTCAGATAGTCTCTCACGGAAAGATTTGCACTGCAGCTTTGGGGTTCAAAATGAAGTAATAAAGTTGCTGATGCAGAAAAATTTAAGATTGGTCATTTCCTCTTATGAAATCTGTTAGGAGTCTTTATTTACCCTACTTATTGGTCATTATATACCCTGTACGATAATTATTTCTATGTCTGTGTTTTGTCACCCAGCATCATGTGAATTCCTTAAGGGCAGGGTCCATATCTGGTTTATCTTTGGAGCCACCTCTGTCCCTCATAATACCCAATGCAGAGCCTACATAGGAGGCCCTCAGTGCATGTTTATTGAATATATGAATGGCATTTTCTTCATTTTCCAAACTCTGTTTGCGGTAAAAGATTATATTAATTCTTGGTGAGGCGGAACATTTCCTGGATCCTTAGAAAAATATATACTATTGTTTCAGTCGTCCTGAGTCACATAGATGCTGAGTGATCAAAGTCTACCCATATTTGGGTGGAAACACTAAGCCAGTGCTAAGTTGGGGAAAGATGCCACGTGTTCAGTGGGTAAACCTTTTCTCTGAAGAAGGCTTAACATTTCCAGATAAGATGAAAAGGCATTTCTAGAAAACAAAAGTAAGAGCTACCAAGTGAGGACTGCTCAACCTTTGGTACCGAATTTACATAAATGGGAGTCTTGGGCTTTTGCTCACACAGTGGGCCAGCTGAGTTTCTGTGACGCTGGAGCTGGGCCTTCAAAGAATTAACTGATTCCTTAGGACATGAATCTATTAAGTCCTCAAGAAAATAAGTACCCACCCGTCCTCTTCGTTTATACAAAGTAGAGTTTATTTTATCGTGTTTCTAGTTTTAGATGGTAAACAAATAATTCTGAACAAATACCTCTAATTTTGAAACCAAGGATAAGTTGATAGTGACGATGTGTTACTATTTTAAAGGAAAGTGTAAATGTAAGACTGAGCCCTGCAGACTTCTCAATAATATTTGTTAAGGAACTGAACATGTTATTACTAGTAGGCTTAGGATATTTTATTTTAATTTTATGTCTTTTTAAAATAATCTACAGTAATGCTTCTACACGTATTTTGTAAGCTAACCAAACCATCATCATTACATACCATTCATATTACACTGTGGGCAGCCAACTTGTAAGAACAATGACTTGTGCTACTTGTCATGAGATTGTGTATCTTTGTATCTTAAAAATGTCCTAAAGGGCCGGCCGAGTGGTGTGTTGGTTAAGAGCTGGGTTGGGACGCCAGAGGGCCCCGGTTCGGATCCCACATATGAGGGCCAGTGACACTGCCCTCTACAGCTAAGATGCTGAACAACAGCTCAACCTGGAGCTGGGCTGCCGTGAGTCACC